CTCCAGGTTACGGATAATGTGGTAGCTTTTGCAGTGTGGACTCTGCACCTTTATACACAAACCAAGTGTCCATCTGTCCCTCTTTCCTTCATCTGTCCTCATACCCAACAAGGGCAACAACCCACAAGAAGAAAAGGCACTTGAGATGATAAGGATAGAACACCCGTGCAAACTAATATCTACTAATTGGCTTATTTATATCTTCAAGAATTTTGCCACCTTTTCCTGCCCTGGTTTACCTCTTGTTTTCATCATTTGAGGACACCAGTGGGCCTCATACTTCTCAAAAACATAAAACAAAAACCTACACTCAGGTATAGAAAAGAACAAAACCCATACCAGTCCATCCTCCTACAACACATGCTGTTGTCTCGGGGGGAGGTCTGGGTAAACTGGGCTGCGGTCCAGTTTCTCACACTGCCTGGTGTACTCTGCTGTGACTATCTGGACTGAACTACAAACAAAGTCCATTGCTAGGGTCGATATCTGATGTGGTTTTTCTAAAGTTAGGCAATGGATGTATTATATCTTTAATGTTCCAAGACTGATTATTGATTATGAGACACCCCAAACTTTCGAGCAGCTGGCCTGGGTATTAAGCTCCAGCACACCAGGGCACAGTAGATTGACTGCAGATAATGATAACGGACTGCGTGCATTTGGAAAAGTTAGAAGAGGGCTAAAGAGATGGCTCCGTGGGTAAAGTCACTAAGCCTGATGACCCCAGTTTGATCTCTGAGACCAAGGTGGAAGGAGAGGGCCGACTCCACACACAAGCATGCTGGCATGGACACAAAATGTAAAAAAACCATTTTAAAAAAGCTAAAGTAAAGGCATATGAATATTTTCAACAAAGAAATGATGTCTGAGGAGACAGATGCTGTAAATTTTTTAAAAATTTATTTTACTTTTATGTGTATGAATGTCTTGCCTGCATGCATATATGTGTACCAGGTGCATGCCTCTTGGGTCCCCTAGATCTGGGGTTATAGAGGGTTGTGAGCCACGATGGAGGTGCTGGAAATCAAAGCTGTGTCTTCTCGTAACTACTTAGATATCTACCCAGCTCCAAGATGTTTTTAATTTAAGTAAAATATTACACAAAGTGCTCATGTATCAACATATCATGCCTATGAATATGTATAATTTAAAATGTACAGTTAAAAAAGATAAACTTCACTTTAAGAAGTTTAGTCTATATGATTAAATATTGGACTTGTGCCTCTTTAGTGGGTAGGATGTGTCTTTAGAAGACAAACCAGGTAACTTTTGAGATTGGAAAGGAGAACCTTTGTAAGTCCTTGGATACTATCACAATCATTAGTACCCAAGAGGCATGAGAACCCCACTCTATCTTAGGAAGGGAATGGGAAACTCGTTCCTTTCCTTTCCCTATAGTAGGCTTTGTTGGACCAGGTGTCAAAGCATTGGAGGGCTTTCTTCCAGCTGACCTTACAATGCAAATCCAGATCTTCCCAACAACCTGGTCAGCAAAACCTTGCTTTTTCATCAGGACCACAATGTCACCCTTGGTAAACATCACTGTACCCATGGGCAGATGGTTAGAAAATGTTTTGGGAGTGGAGTAAGGAGTTCAAGGAAGCATGGTTGGAGCCAACTGGGCGTCTCTTCCCAATTCTAGAATCAAAGAACTTAGAAAACAGGCTAGGTCTGAAAAGGGCTTTGTCATTTGGATAAAAACGGAAATGCTGTGTAACTGTTATGGAATTTTATAGAAAGAAGTGATAATAGGCTAAAACCAAATATAGTTTAGAACGTCAGAAGGGTCTCTATAATTCGGTGTAGGACAGACTGTGATGATTTGCACTGTCAACTCGACAGGAAATAGAATTACTTAGGAGACAAGTTTCTAGGCATGCCTTGAGGGAAGGCCAAAAGCAGGTTAACAGAGGTGTGAAGACCCACCTAAACTGAGGGCAGCTCACTTTCACAGGCTGCAATCCCAGACCAAAGAAAAAGGAGAAAGTGAATGTTATCACTGCTGGGGACACTATTGACTGGCTGTCCCAAGAGCCTGCCATGATGGCTTTCTTCCCATGATGCTAAGTAACTATGAGCTCAAATAAACTCTTCCTTCCTTAAGGTGCTTTTTCAGATAGGTTGTCACAGCAACCAGTAATTAATAGACTATTCCATGCTCTAAAAAGCTACTGTGAGTAGGTCATGATCTGGGGTGATGCGTTCCATTCAAAATCTGACAGACAGAATATCAAGCAAGTCTGGAAAGATGGCTCAGTGGTTAAGAGCACTGCCTGCTCTTCCAAAGGTCCCGAGTTCAATTCTCAGCAACCACATGGTGGCTCACAACCATCTGTAATGAGATCTGGTGCCCTCTTGAGGAAGAGACCTGGTCAGTTGTCCTCATCAATTTAGCAACTTAGACCATGAAACCCAATATGGACAAGTACAGGCTGCCCATGCATGCATGCTTCAGCATTGCCAAGGCATAAATTTCATTCATTTTTTTCATACAATGATGTGGACCCAATGCACAATGATTTTTTTCTAAAAATATTGGTTTGGTTTATTCAAAATGTAAAGTAATATGATAGGAAAAGGCAGCTGCCATGTGCCCAGTTACCATTCTCTAATTTTCAAAAAACTAGAAAATAATGAATCCAAAGAATTCAGTAGGTATTTTTAAGTCCCAATTTTGAAGAAGAGTTTTATAATTTATTTTTTTCTTAAAAACAAACAAACAAACAAACCAGGGCCTTGCTGGTTGGCCTGGAACACAATTATAAAAGCTGCATATGGTGGCACACACCTCAGGAGGCAGAGGCAAATGGATCCCTATGACTTCAAGGCCAGCCTAGTCTACACAGCAAGATTGAGGCAAGCCAGGGCAACACAGTGAACATTCTGCAGATGATTTCAAATGCTCTCATGTAAGCCCCAGAAAACAGAATGTGTTTCAGAGGAGGAAGGGATAAACTTCTTGATGAGCTAAACAAGCCAACCACAAGATCTCAGTTTGCCCACGGCACCCTTATCTACACTTACACATACCTTAAAGGGGTGACCAACCTGCAGCCATGAGCTGTGTGTGCCTAGGGACGGCTACCAACACAACCAGCACAGACTCCTAAGCTCATGAGCTGTGTGTGCCTAAGGATGGCTAGCAACGCAACCCAGCATAAACTTCTAAGCTCACTTAAAACATTTTACAATTGTAACTCAGTTATTTGGTTTCTGAACACAAATTTTGTCATAATGTTGTGTCACAACATCAAAAGGCTTGACAGGCCTACAGGCTTGTAACAAGACTCTCAAGTGGCTCTGAATGTTGAGAAATATGGAGACAGGAGCTTCTCACAATTGCATCACCAGAGCAGTGTGCTAACCCAAGCCATCACTTGGAAGTGAGGCTAGTTACTCTAATTCTGAGTAAAAAGCTTCTGGATTGAATAGTGGAATATCCCTACTATACTGGGGAACAGGGGAACAGAGACAATGGGGACCCCTCCTTCTGGGAGGTCACTAGCTTGACAGGGGATTTAGTGAGAAAATAAGAAAGAGGTCAAAGGGTTCCTCATTAAGATCTAGCCACACTGGCTTCCCAGGGCTAAGGCATTTGAGGAGAAACATTTGAATGTCTCAACTAGTTTCTGATGCACCCTGTACGACTTTAAAGGGAATGCCTATTTTCTTAAAAGATGGTTTGGTTCATTCTAACAAAGGTTGTCATGACGCTTCTCATTGTATATATACATAGTTTTATCAAGTATATATTTTTATATTAGAAACTTCATCCATCCAAAGGGGGTAAATCAGTGATTTGTAGTATATCAACAGTGTTCTAGAAACACTGATATGATATAATATCACAAGCTTTTCATGGTACCTCCCAAAAGGAAATATTACGTGTATTAGTAAAGGTCATTGTATGAATCTAAGCTTCCCTTGCTGTTCAAACCATTTGAGTCAAAGATTCTCATTTCCAAAGAGAAGATAAAAACTAAGAGAGAAATATGTGTAGGGAGAGTCTAATTATGCCACACAGTGAGTTTGGATCCTGGGTTTTTCTCTCTGAGTTTGATCTCTCTGATCAAAAGGCCAGAAGTCACGCGTTTGTGGGCTTCCCAACAGCAGCTCTGTATCACGCGGCAGCCGCTCTTAGAGCAAGCACACTTAGGTGGCTGTCACTGGGTAAAGGTTCTTTAGCCAAAAGAAACAAACTTAGGTTCGGGCCTCCTCAGAGGAAATGCTTTTCACCCACGTGCTCCAGATAATTCACCTAAGCAAGGAGCTGTACCTGGGAGGAGTGCCGGGCTGATCTGGTTTAGCCAGTAACCACACATTCTGAGAGAAAGAAGTCAGAAGGAAGGGTGGGGCAAAGGCTGCCTGGCCAATACTACTGAGGTGTGTGTCAGTCAACTGAGACGCATCACCACACACCCACACACACCTTCGTCTGTTCTAGACAGCGAATCTGTATTTCTCCATTTGGCACTCTCCTTTCAGAAAAAGCAGGGTGCAAATTCCAGTTGAGTAATGCAAGGCAGGAGAAACAAGTCGAGACCAAGAAGTCAGGTGGGAGACCACGAGTGGCTGGCTTATAGGCATACAACTCGAGGAAATCTTATCAAAAGGCAGAGTCCTCTGGGTGAAAAGATATGGAAAGAGTGAAGAAAACACCTCAAAATAAATGAAGTACTTACTGCTGAAAAATGAGCTTGGCTCTCAACCAACTCCAAAGTTCAGAATTTACTGCACCACTCAGGCCTTTCCCCTAAGTTTCTGGTCTCTTGTTTCACGGCACAACAAGGGATTCTTCGTACTTTATGTGAAATACAACAAGACGATTTCTGCAGTAATAAACCCCATGCACGCATGGCAAATCCAGGCACGCAGAATGTTTAACATCCCAGTCCACAGATTCTTTAGGGACAAAATCCGATTATGAATTATATGCCACAATAAATAGGGCTCAATGTTTCATAAAGCAATTTATAGTTCATAAAAATGACAAAATGTACCTGTCAGATAGAGCGCGGAGAGCTGTTCTCTGGGCTGCCTGCTGGAAGAAAGGACGGAGATGTTTATTTAATATTCTGACTTTTAAATTATGCGCTCAATCAACAATCTCAGAAAAAGCCTGTGTCCCACACACATTTTTGTCAAGTAACTGTTAGCAACACAGTAGTAGAAAGCCCTGCTGTGTCACGAAAGGAAGGTTCTGGGTTATCCTGCACCAAGGCACACTTGCCCATAAGAGGCGGAAGTGGGGGAGGTGCTAAGTACTCTTCCCTGGCTATGTGGGGGCAGTCTCGGGAAACACGGCGAAGACCTGAAGTGATTTTTTTTCCTACCCCTTGAAATTAGTTTTCCATTGCTTTATCCTCATTTCCTGTAAGAAAAGAAAATAACTTTTTACCAGCGGAAGTGTAAATCTGTGTTGGCATGTGTGTCTCTGTGTTGTGTGTCCGCTGATGTGCATATGTGAGCACACCTACGGATGTGTGGGCAGAGTCCAGAGGAGGACACTGGTATTTTCCTCTAATGCTCTTTGTCTTGTTCCCCTGACTCACTGTCTCTCAGGGAACTTGAAGCTCTCCATTTTCTCCAGTTCAGAAAGGCTGGTTGGTCATCAAGTTCCCTGGATCCACTCCTTTCTGCTGATGTTGTAAGCATATTGTGGGCATGCTCAGCTCTTTTTCATTTTTGACTGGTTTTGTATTTTGTTTTGTTGTGTTCTTTTACATTTACTAAAGGTCTCCATATTTGGAAAGTGGATGGCTGTCTGGGCAAGAACACAGTATTATGAGATCATTGTTATTTTTAGGCACCGTCATGATGTTGTGACAACAGTTTTGTTTGTTTGTTTTCTAAAGAGCTTTTAGTGACCTGGGGAGCTGGCTTGTTTGGTAGAATGCCCGCTGTACAAGCAAAAGCATTAGCGTTTGGATCCCTAGCATCCTTGTGAAAACACGCACACATGCGCATCTCAATCACTAGTTTAGCCCAACCAAAGAGCTCCAGGGTCAGTGAGAGACCCTGCAAAAGAAAAGAAAGAAGCCCTCCAAAACTGAAATGGAGCGAGTAGGCTGACTAGCCACTGTTGTCCTGTAACCAATCTGGTCTCAAACACAGTCTTCCTGCTGGTGTCACTCAGCCCACTTCAAACTGACCCTCAAGCTGATGGGCTGCCATCAAGACCTGCATTTGACACCTCTGTGCTTAAGCAGGCTCTGTGGATGCCTGTGGTCAATGAGGCTTATCCTGGGCTCCCTACAGACTCACCCTTGGTTCTGACTTGAGGACAGCTTCTCTCAACTCTGCAGCCTCTTTAAGCCTTTTCTGAGCCACTTTGTGATGGTGTATTTTTACATTAGTGTGAGGTATAATGTGTGGTCTGAGAGTTGATGTTAGTCACCGAGACTGGAATGGAGGAACTTGAGATTGTCAATGGGTACCTATCAAGCAAAATTAGGAGCAAATTGCGGCCAACGAGACTGCTGTACTTTGTAAATTTCTGGTTACCCAGTAAATTCCAACATTAAGGAACAACAACAAAAAACATGGATAGTGACTGAAGAAGACACCTGACAGTGAGTGACCTCTGACCTTCACATGTAGGAGCATCTGCATACATGTGTGTACCCTATCAACCATGAGGGATGGGACTAAAGATCCAGTCTTAACTTAAAGCTAATTGACTCTTTTCTTCCTTGCCTGCCTCCAAAGATTCTTCCTGCTGACTTCTAGGACAGGGTGCTGCAAATGTTGATGAGTAGCTGGTTGGAAAAGGATTTAGAGAGCAAAGGGAGACAAACAGAACCAAGAAATGGCTGTGCACACCTGAGGTGCATCCCATAGAGTGGCCCCTGCTAATGACCTTGCAGGATTATGTTGGCGGGTTCTATCCTAAGGTGTGTGGGAAGTCTGGGACAAGGGTGGCTTTCTTTTAGCAAACCCACAGGATGCCGGCTTAGAGACTGGGCACTCACCATCCATTAATGTCTTTTATCATTCTTCCAGTCTGTCAGTGAGCTGAATGTCACTGTACAGTCAACACTATGGGACTCAGCACAACTGCTCAAAGTACTATTTACTTATTTTTAAAATGCTTGATATTTGACTGTACTTCTCATTGTATTTTTCATTATGAACTACTCTACAGAGGACAGTCACCATCCATTAAGAAAGGCAACGAGAATGCATTAAACATTTAAAATCACTCTTAGAAAACAGGTATATGACTTTACCTAAGCAAGGAGTGATTACTGAGAAATTTTTGAGCCTACTCTCCTAAACAAAACCAAATCCTTCCGTTTTGCACCCTGCCTTAATTTATAGTTGGAAAATAGTAGAAGAAATAAACATATATAAAAATATATAGCCAAGAAAAAAAATTACTCAGGTGACTCAGCCTGAGAAACTGGTCGTAAACTAGATGGACGGCCCAGTTCCACTCCTTCAAGAGTCGCATCGCCGTGACCACACTCTCCTTCCTTAATCTCTCATCAGCTTTTCCTCTAGCTTTCCTCTGATTCAGTCTCCGCGGAGCAGCTAGAGAGGGTTCAGAGAATGCTCCACTGATCTTTCCTGAGTGCATTAGTCATTCATGAATGACTCTGAAGCTCAAGTCTCTAAGACAAAACAAGTTTTCTGCCAGAAATAGTCACTCTCCAAGCTCCCCTCAGGAGATGACATCCTCTCTCTGTCTTTATCTTAACAAGGCTGGCGCTCGGAAACATAATCAGCAGATATTCTGGTTCCAGGGTATGCTAAAGAAATTACAAGTCACAATCTGTTATTGAAAGGAAATCGAAGAGGAAATTAAATGCCCCTTTGTAACTGGGTCTAGCACAGGGCAAGTCCATAGACACTGGGGTGGGGGGTGGGGATAAAATAAAAGGAAGGAAGAGGCTGACATTCAGAGGTGGCTCAGAGCCATCCAGTTTTGTGATGTAAATAGAATTTATGCCTGGATTCATAATTAATTTAATGATGTGTAGGCACTGGACGTGGCATAGGTGATGGGAAAAATAGATTAAGGTCTTTATGGTATCTCTTTGAGTCTGGAGGTGGGGCCGCACATGAAAGGTCCACAGGCACACAACACATAACACAAAGACCTGGAGGAAAAAAGAGAGGATGAGTCCAGAGACATGGGGGAGGGAAAAGGAGAGCCATTAGATCAGAACATGGGGGAGGTGAGAAGGAAGGGCTAGATACAGAGAAAACAGCGTGAGAGTAAAAGATGCATCAGGCTTAGATCCTGGCTCAGGGGAGAAACTGTACAAGGTCACTGTGGTACAGCTCAGCAGGGCAGCAGGACCATGGCGGAGCAAGAAGAAGCCAATTTCAGGGGCAACGGAGGTCAAGTGTAGGCTTGTGGTTGTATAAGACAATAGGAGATCATTAAAGGGTTTACATGGACAGAAGCTGGATAAAGCATGCTTGTATATCCTGTGTAACTTCCTGTGGATCTATAATAAAATACAGTGTATATTTTCTGATGTCACACTGGATTCTGTTTTGTGTGGCAATTTAGTTTAGATAAGAAAGGACTAGATGTGAAGTTATTACGAACTATCTGACAGCAATGAAGATGGGGAGAACATGGCTATACTCTGCAGTTCTAATAGAGGGGACTGTCTCTGGTAGGATATGGCAAGGCAGGTCAGAGATGGCACTGGCACCAGATTTCACGCCTGCGCACTTGACGTGAACAGAGACCACTGGTGGAGATGTAGGATGGGGTGTGGGAGTATGGGTAAACGTAGACGAGGTCTTGTGCTGTTAAGTTCAGTCCATGTTGCATGTTTACACAGATGGTGGGTGACAGCAGGAAGTAGTAGACTAAAGTTGTTAAACACCAAGCAAACAGAGACACCAATAATAGGGTGGGAGTGGCAGCTCCGTCAGTGTAAGGACCTATGCTTGCACCCCAGAGCCTGAGGAGGAGATACAGTGGCAGGCACTGATAATCCCAGCCTGGTGGTTTGTGGGGGGACACGTATCCTGGGGCTTACTATTCAACCAGCCTGTCCTAATTTACAAGTTTCAGATAAAATGAGAAACTGTTAAAAAAAATGAAATAAGTAGAAATAAAGGTGAACGAAACCTGAGGTAGATCTCCGGCGTCCTCACACACAGTCCCACTCACAGACACATGAATACGCATGCACACATACCCGCCCCTTTCTCGTACACTGTTCTGGATCCTCACTTTGCTAGTGTTACTCCTCTTGGCGGTCTCCTCCGTAAGCTTCAGTACTGTTCGTTTCTAGAGACGCAGTCTGAGAAGCCTTCTGCTCAGCAGGCTTCCTCCTCATCCTGTTCTGTACCACGGTTAGGCAGAGCCAGGGAGGACAATAACTTAACCTCTGTGTAAGAACACTCTGAGAATGACAGGGGATGCTAACCAGATGGCAGTCGGGGGAAGGAGGAGGAAACTGCCTTGGCCGGGTACCCTGGGTTGTCTGGTTGTTCTAATAAAGACTGGTCTGTATGAACACTGCTCGCTCTTTATGAAACCCACATTGAGTAGTCGTACATGGACAAGGCAGAATTTCAGAGGTGACAGAACTCATCAGTAAAGAAAGCCAACGGCTGAATCAGGGCAGCAGAGGACAAACAACTGTGGCCCTTGAAATTACAGGCAAGCCAACATGTGTAAGGTTTTCTGGTTCTTTCCCGGTGCTTCTCCCCTGATTTAGACCCCACCTAACTCTGAGAGTTTTTTTTGTTTGTTTGTTTTTGTTTTTTGTAATTGTTTCTTTGGCTCGCCACTTGGTGCCCTACTCCTGGGATTCTGGGTCTGTAACAGGATGAAGTACTACTCATCTCTGGGGAGCTTGCCACTTGCGCAAGATGGTATTTTAATTTTGGCTTCCTATACTACCTTTAAGATGATACAAGACAGAGAACTTAGTGCATTCTTCCTCACACGTGAGGGTGTGAACTTCTGGGCATGACTAAGGCTTCTGAGGGGTTAGGGAAGGCATATGTACTTTTGTTAAGCATTTCCAGGATGTTCTACTCCCTGGAGGAGTCATATTCTGAATTACC